AAAAGTACCGATGAGAACAAGTGATATGACAAAAGTGATCAAAACACGAAATATAACAAACATAAACACAAATAATTCAAATTTATGTACAAGATTTATAATCAGAAAACATACTTGAATGTTGATGTTTAGAACAGAATCACAAATATGAAAATATGTAGATTGAGGCTTCCGAACTGCAGTGTCCTAAGATAGAAATTGCCCTGGAATGGGTCTGTCTTGAGGATACAACAATCAATTCAAGAACAGATCTTGAATATGTCGAAAATCACCATGATCCCTTTTGATATGAAGAACGGATTTTTGAGAGAAAGTGTGTGTTTTATTAGCCTTCAAATTCTATCTGATTCCATGTATTTTAAGGCTTCCAATAGTGGTTGTAAACCACCAACCGAAATTAACTGCTAAAAACTGTCAAACAGTTAAGTCTCTAATTAACAAAATTTTACCAAATAGAAAATTAATTTAGATTTATAAAAAATAAAAATATATTAATTATCCAAGAAGATCCCCAAGGCCCAAGAGCATATCTTTGACCATTAATATATAATAAATCCAAGCCTTCTACTAGTCCATTGTTGACTAGTCCAACACCACAACCCAAACCCAAGATGCTTGACCCATTAGTTGGTCCATTTGATTAAATGAGTGGGACAAGACTTATAAGGTGGGAAAAAGTTTTCTCTTCCTCCTATGTGGGACAAGTCCCACATTGTATTTTTGTAGAACAAAGTTCCAACAACAAGGAGATCATCAAGTTGCCTATGAAAAGTTCCACCATCAAAATGATGACTCCTAGACCAAGACCACCCATCAACCCATCGATCCTGCATACTACACTCTCGATTATGTTTAAGATAAAACAACCGCAAAAAGCCATATTTTAAAGGAACATCACCCACCCAAGTGTCTTGCCAAAATCGAGTACTCCTTCCATTCCTAATTCTTTTTCGTAGGCAAGAGTAAGGAATAACTCCTCTTTATTGCATAGTGTTTATCAAACCAATGATGCAAGACCACACCCTTGAAGTAATATCTCTAGAATTAGAAAAAATGTGACCTCTCGTGTACCCATACAAGGAAGATACCTTCACCCATAAAAAATCTCTTTCTTTTTAAAAATGACATCACCACTTTTGAATTAGAGCGTGGTTAAGAGCCTCAAGGCTACCAAAACCGATCCCACCTTTTCTTTAGACGCCAAAACCATATTCCAATTAAACCAAGAAAGTCTTTTTAAACTCCCATCAAAACCCCAAAAGAACTTTGCACGTAATGATTCCAAACATTTCTTTACTTGAACCAGCATCACAAAAAGGGACATATAATAATTCCCCAAAGAACCTAATACCAAAGTGATCAAAATTGATCTACCACCAATTGATAACATATTTGCTTTCCATAATTTTTTTCATGAATAATAAAAGAATCGTGGGAAAAAAGACATCAACTTTATAATCACAAGTCTATGGACTAAGAGATAAAGGTTATTGGTCAAATGTGGTACTACCGAAACATCAAGTAGTTTAAGATTGGGAGTAATTTTATAAGAATAGTATCAGATATACCAATAGAGGTGTCGTTACTGACAACTACTCTAGAGTTACCTTCATAAGTAGATGACGTGTCAAGAGTAGAAGCTTGAGACAATGTGAGTGGTGGCACCCATATCAACATACCAGTGAACAACACGGAAGAAGAGCACAGATTAGAAAAATGTTCTAAAATATTGCCATCAATTGTGTGGAGCCTCAAAAGTGTAGCATTGTGGGAAAGAAATAGCCTTATGGTCTTCAATGTAAATTATATGTAAAATTATAACACCTTGTTTCGAATTGTTCCCATGTTGGGGATGGTGATCAGGGATTGGGTATTAGCAGACTTCGGATCCTTGAGGAATTGAGTTTTGGACCCAGTTGGAGTTGGATAATGTAATTCAGATATTTTGGGTATTCGGTTTGTGTTTGGAAACAAAGGGCATTTCGATAATTTGTCGGTTAGGGCTTTTATGGAAAGTGGATGTTCGTTCGGAATATCTTATGTCTGGTATGAGTTGATAATAGTGTAGAGCGTCTCGATACCTTTTTATGGATATATAGATTGTCAAAATCGGAGTTGTATCGAGAGAGTTATGGCCTTCGGAAGAATTAGGGTTTGGGAAAAACTCTAGTACGTGGAGCGTACCAAGGTGGTACGCAGGGCGTACCGAGGCAAAGGGGTTACACAAGGCGTAACTGGAGAAACGTGCAATGTAGGTGCGAGGCTGGGTCGGGGTGCGACTCCTCTTACGCTGGGCGTACGAGGTGGTACACTAGGCGTATGAGGGGCAGATTGAAAACCCTAATCTTAGGGTTGTACCCTATATAAGCATAATGTTAGCCTCTTTCTTCATTTCCTAAGCCAATCCCACCCTCTAAAACCCTACAAATCGTCCTTAAGCATTCATGGTGCCATCTTGAGCTTATGGTGTCCATTTTTGGTGTATTTGGTCCATTTCTAAGAAGATGGAGCTTGGTACAAGGATGGGAATCAAGGAAGAGCTTATGGATCCTGCTTATGTGTCTCATTTCCAGCTTGTTGGAGGTAAAAATCTTTGAACTTGATCATTGATGTCTTAGATTTACCATTTATGGGTTTTGGTTCATTTTTGGTCCCAAGAATGAGATCTAGTGGTCTTGATTCCATTCCAGGAGCTTTGAGTTGCCCCTCTTAGTGTTTTTGAGGTTCAAGGTCCATAAAGTTGGTACCTTTAGAGTTTAAAACCATCCATGGTTGAATTTGGGTCATTTTCATGAAAGTAGAATGTTATACTTTGAGATTGGGTCTTATTGGGGCATGCAAAGTCACAAAGTCAGTGACTTTATGGTTCTAGACGTTTATTTAGAAGTTGATCTATGGTTTGGACTTAAGGGATCAAGCATTAAGAGCTTATTGACGGTTTTGGCTCAATGGAGGAGTACGCTGGGCGTATAAGTCTGTACGTGCAGCGTACAAACCAAACAGCCTGTACGCTTAACATACAGCTGAGTATGCCCCGCGTACTCAGTCAGGGGAAGTTTCGTTGTTGGGCTTCAATGTAGGTCATCTGTTGAGATTATGTGTCTTGGGCCCTGTTGGGCCATCAGATTCTGGTTTGATTGTAAGATTGAGAAGGCCCACAGAGGGCATTGGGCCCAATTTGGAAAATTGGGCCATGATTTGGGCCACAAGTGGTTTTTGGTATTTTGGGCCTGAGTGTTTAAGTTATTAATGGGCCATCGGAATACAAAGTGTTTTGGAGTAGAATGAAAGGTTGGGCCTTAAGGTAAGGCCCATGTAAGGCGTTGGGCCCAATTTGGAAAATTGGGTCGTTGGTTGATTAATTGGCCTTTGGGCCTTTCAGATTGTAATTTTGGGTCTTACTTTTGGACAAGGCTAGGTTAGGGGTAAAATGGTCTTTTTACCCCGAGTAGGGAGTTGCGGTTATGGATTAGAACCCTATTGTTAATTGGGTGTTGTTTATTTTTGATAGTTTGGGGATCTGTCAGCCAGCAACCAAGGGTGTTTCTGTATTATTCAGCAGTACGAAGTGAGTCTCCTCACTATATCCATGGGTCGAAGATACCAATGTCGGCCCATTACGTGTAGGAAAATCTGTAATAAAATCTCTAAAGTTTAGCTCTATTAACACGAAAGCCCTCCCTGATTTTTTATTTTTTATTTTTTGTAATTTAGCCAATAAAACCGGTAAACACTTGCAAAAAACCATTGTTCCAGCTAAAGTTAAAAAACTTTTCTGAAAAAATTTTCTTTTATCTACTCTAATAAATAAAAACTTTTTTTTGTTACATATCACTTATAAAAAAAATAGAAACTTTCCTTCATTGTCATTTTTTACACCTACATCATTTTTTTTACACCCACGACCTGAAAATTCAACACTAAATGTAGCATGTCTTAGAAACGTGCTCCATGCGACAAATAAACAAAATCTTCTTAAATTATATAGGATATAGATGATATCTTAATAATTGTAGTTATCATATATAATTAGTGGGCTTATCAATTTATTTAGTGGACTTTTATTTGGATGTGGTCTAAAACAAAGTCTTCTTAAATTATATATGATAAATACAATCATTAAGATATCATCTATATAGGTTTTTATTTTCATTTAGTAGATATAAAAAGAAAATTCAGAAAAATCTTTAAACTTTAAACATATTAACGAAAAAGTTATTTATGATTGTTTATCTTTATAAAAATCCTTAAATTTTTTAGAAAAAACTTGAAAACCAACATTGCTCGAGAACAAAAAAAACAATGATTTTTTTTGCAAATGTTTTCGGGTTTTTTGTGTTAAATTGCAAAAAAAGAAAAAAAAATCAAAAAAAACTTTTGCATTAATAAAACCAAATTTCAAGGACTTTATCGTCAATGCAGATTTTTATACAAAATAATAAAATATACGAAGATTACACTGGATTGTACCAAAGGCTAACAAACTAGAAAGAGATAAATCTATAATTTAAAAGGATCTTCATGATCTTCTTCGTGAATATCCCTAATACAAATAACCCCTCACCCCTTTATACCTTTCTACAATTCCCACTTAAACGACGAAAGCCTAACCATCATCCTCACCTTCCTGCTCTTCATCATTCCACTGTATGGTTCTTTAATTCATATGCATTCGATCTTTTCGTGTTTATGAACGCATTTCCTTTTTCATATTCATCTGCATTCGATCCTTTTCGTTTATGAACGCATTTCCTTTTTCATATATATGTTTTAGTGATCGTCTATTGATTTTATCTTCCATTTTCATTATTTACTTTCGATTTCGGTTCCCTTAGTCTGTTTTCCTTCACTGTTGCTGTTCGTTTAAGCATTTTGAAACCCTGATCACTAGGTTCACGTTTTCATCAGTTCGTAATGTTTTTTGCTCTGTTTGTCTTTCTTACAGATCACTGAAGATGTCGAAAAGATCTGAAATTTCCGGTTCATCTGCCCCAAAAGCGATGTCTGGCTATGCTTACGCCGGACCTATATCTACTGTGAAAACAACAGTGGGCCAAGGCAGTTACGAGAACAAATCACAAGTAAGTTTTAGCGACAAGCAGACCGGGTCCTATGGCCGAGCAACGGCAACTGAGAAGGCGTCCACCGGAAACTTTCAGTGGCAGAACGGAAAGAGTGGCACCAGGAGTGAATACAAGGAAAGCTCTACTGTCAGAATCGGAGACCGGAGTGGATACACAGAGGTTTACAGCGAGCAGAGGGTTCGCAATGTGAATTTCAACAACAACAATGGCAGCAAGAACGTCATATCCTACGACAATGGCGATGGTGGTAACTATGGTGGGTATGGGTATGGGCATGATTATGATTATGATTATTAGATGTTGGTTGATTCTTGGGTTTATCTGGGTAATGGTTAGGTTTTAGGTTTATGAGAATCTGATCTCGAATAAAGTTTCTGCAGATCTTTATCTGTTAGAAGTTAGAACTTAGAAGCATCAGTATGTGCTAATGTTTCTTTTGCAATGATCATATTTTGATTTCTTCATTTTTGCTTAAATTGTGTAGTTATCATCACGAATTCTTCCATATTTTGATTTCTTTAACTGTTAGAACTTAAATGTTTTATTATCACGAATTTTTCCACATCAAAGTTTTTTTAAAAGGGTTTTTAATGTATTGTGAATATATATATATATATATATATATATATATATATATATATATATATATATATATATATATATAGAGAGAGAGAGAGAAAAGGCTATATAATATCTGTGATAAAATTGTCCGAAAATTTCATTTTAACCCAACAAATTTTTTCGAATCAATTTAAATGGCTGGGTTTAATTAAATGGACAAAATTGCAAAAATGGTAGGTTTGCCAATTTCTTTGGGTAAGGTCCAGGTCATTATTTGATGGTTTAGCTGTGGTTTTGGTCCCTATTTCGTTAACTTTAATACTTGGTTGTTAACTTTTTTAAAATGACAATTTTACCCTTAGAGACCATTTTTGTAGTTATCTCTTTTTACAAAATTACAAGGACCATTTCAACAATTCATTCTTTTTAAATTTATTTCAACAATTCATTCTTTTTAAATTTATTGAATTATTATATATTAATTCTTTTTTCTTTTTTATTTTATTGAACTATTATACATTAATTTTTTTTTTAATTTTTTTTATTGGATTAAGTTTTTATCTGATTATTATATATCAAGTAATTCTATTTTTAATATATAATATTTATATATTAATAAATATTATATTATTATATTATTAATTTCTTCTAACTATTTTAAATTTTTTTTATTGGATTGTTTTAACAAAAAAAAAGTTATTAGATTTTTTATTGGGTTATTACATTTAATTTATTATATTCTATATATAATAAATAATATTTTAGTGGATCATTAATTTTTTTAATGTATAATATTAATTCTTTTTAATTTATTGGTTCTACGACAAAGTCTTCGGAATACGCAAAAGCACCGCATCCCATTGTCGAAAATCGTCAGGACCACCACTAATCACCGTCATCGGAGGTCCGACAGAAACACTACCAACCCGTTTCACCCAACGCCGCTATCCAGTAGCCACCTGCGACAACCTCTTCACAATCTGTCAGAATCATTTATATTTGCCACTAAGCCGATCGTTTTCCACTAGAACCACCACTATTTGAACCACCAAGAAGTCCAACCCAAACACCCTGTCAGTTCCTCCATTTGTTGCCTTTTACCAGCTTACGCCACAAAATTATACTACCTGGTCAGTTACTCCATTCGTTGCCTTCCACAACCCATGCACAACCTTATAACATCAAAGCTTCAAGCCTGCACTACCTGAAAAGATCTAGCGGTGGATCTGGTGGTTTGAAAACCCTATATCTAACATTGTCGCCATTGATGGCAATGTGGCTAGTCAATTGGTGTAGTTTTGGTTGAGAATGACGGATTGTAGGCAACAATTGACGATTTCCGACAAGATGATGTGGCGACGCAAGGTACTAGAAAGCAACGAATGGAGGAACTGACCAGGGTGTTTGGATCGGACCTCCTTAACACAATATTGATTTTAACAGAAAACGACCGACTTAGTGGCAACCAAAGAAGGAAGGCCGTCAGCCGCTTTCCGGGAGGAGCTCCCGGAAGAACGCTCCGACGGTCAAGTTAGAGAGTGTTTAGGATCTTTGGGCGTGTGCTCTCAGAGAGTCTGGAGAGCTTACCTCGTAGGTCTGAAAGCGTATCCTTTTATACCTAGCTCCCTTGCCTGATTCGTACCAGACAAGATCGCTTTTTGGGGAGACAGGCTCAGAGGGCGCTGATTGGAGAGTCATACGCCTTTAACCGTTAGGGCGCTCTTATTGGCTCTGACGGTAATGGTCTGATCCTCCTGCTTGTCTCCTGACCGTTTCTTTTGTCTTGGAGCTGGGAGCGTCTCTTAGGCGGGCGCGAGCCTTTCGCCTGTGCGTTCCGCTCCCGAGGGCGTCAGCGGAAGCTAAGCCTGCTGGGCTGGGCCTGGTTGGCGTGCGCGAGCCTTTCGTATGTGCCTTCCACTCCCGGGGACGCCAGCGGAAGCTGAGCCTGCTGGGCTAGGGCCGGTTGGCGTGTCCGGCTCGTGCTTCTGCCGTGCTGCCCTAGGCACGTCATCAAGTCCCCCAGTCCTGTAGCCGTAGCGTTGCAGCGCTAGCTACGGCGTTCTGGACTTAGATAGCTTACGCATGTCGGTTTTCCTTTACCCGCCGTTCCGTCTTTAATGGCGACGTGACTACGCATGATGTCTGGCAATTACGTCACCGCGTCAGGCATTTAAATATCCCGCCTCTTCCTCTTCTTTATAAGGGCCTTTGAACGGTTTCTCCTTATCTTTTCCTCTTTCCCTCTTCGTCTTCCTCTTTTCTAGCTTGTCTTCTTCTCTCTTCCTTTCTTATAGCAAACCTTCCCGGTATCCTCCCTTCCGCCACTGAGTATCGTCAACTGGAGGTCACATATGGCTTATCTTCTTTGGAAGGTGTAGAGTTTCCTGCACCTGGTTCTAGTATCTCATCCCCTCCCCTGGCAAGATTGGGGTTTACCTGAAAACCCTAGACGCTGGCATCCGTTTCCCTCTGACTGTTTTTCAAGAGGAGGTCTTTCAGAAAGACGGTTGCAGTCTTCAGATGCTGACCCCTAATGCAGTCAACAAAGTGGTTGCATTTGAGATGATCTGCAGGGCCAACGGGTATCTTCCGGATTACTTTGTTTTCAAGTTTTTTTTTCGATTATGCGTTACTGGGGATAAGTGCACCTTTTCGGTCCGGCGAGGGGGGCACGTCTTGGTTCCCGACGGGCGGACCCCTAAGAATTGGCAAGACAAGTGGCTGTGGGTAGACCAGGAGTTGGTCGGAAGCGGCCGGTACCGTGCGAATGCTTTTTCCGACACCATCCCCAAGCTCTTCCCTCACAACCAAAGTGTCGCTGATTATCTGAAGTGTGTGCAAGTATCCCCTGAGGATTATTCTGAAGCTCTGCTTTCTGGTGTGGGGATGAGCCCTTCTTGGAGGCGTCGTGACAAAATGGCGGTGTTTTTCTCCGTTGTCGACGGTAGGTGTTGTTCCCTTCTTTTTCCCTTCTTACCCTTGTTACTACTATGTGACTGATATTCCTTGTTCTAATATCTCTAGGTGTTGAGTCTTCCCTGTCCATGGATGAGGTGTTACGGAAGCGTTATCGGGGCAAGTTAGAGTACCGTGAGGTGGATCTGGTTGATCGGCTTCCTCCACCCCGCCGGCTGGACCAGTTTGCCTTAACTGCTGCTCCCTCCGCCCCTCCTGCAGGCTCGTCAGCGTCGGAGGGAGATCCTTTACAGGCCCGTCCAATATCTGCTGTCATGCCCCTGGGTAGCGCTCGCTCCTCCTCCATGGAGGGTAGCGAAGACATCAAAGAGGGGGTTATCACGGATGTCCGGCAAATGCACGCGAAGAGAAAGGCTGTCTTAGCCATGGGTGAGCCGGTTATCGGCGTGTCCACCGCTACCAAAAGGGTTCATACCCGGCGCAGCTTCTCTCGTCTGCTGAGCTCTATGACTTCCACACCGGCCGGTGTGGTCGTGATCCCTGATGACGACACGCAACAGTCCGAAGGGGTCGACGGGGCGGCTGAACAGCCCGTTGTTCCTGCTCTCTCCTCTATTCCCGTTCCAGGTGTTTCCTTGGTTTCCCCAAAGTTTTCCCCAGTTAAAGGTTCTAGCGGCCCTGGGTCAGTTTCAGTTCCTTTAGGTGGTGTCTCTGGAGACGGCTCTACTGAGTCTCCTGTTTTTGTTCCTTCCTGGGATCTCCGCAACGATTCCCGACTTTCTGTTCGTAATAATGCTTTGGAATTTTCCCGCCATGCTTTTCCTCCGGCTGCTGTTGGCGATATGGAGGCTATGGATAACCCTGCGCTCGCTCATAACATGGCTTATGCTGCTGCGCAGGCCATGTTTTACCTTGTCGCGGGTTCCTGTCGTGTTCATGCTCTTGGCGAGATGGAGGCCGTCCACGCTACTTGTGGGTCACACGTGACGGGGCTGGAACGTCGCCTTGGCGAGCTTGGCGAGGACCTCCGTCTGTCTGAGCAAAAATGTGAATTGCTATCTTCTGAGAAGACCGTCCTTGACGAAACTAGGGCTGTCTTGGAAGCTAAGGTCGACTCCCTGACTCAAGTGAATGAATGTTTGATGATCCAGGTGGAAAGTCTTGAACGCGATGCTGCTGATCGTGATAAGCTTATTTCGTCATTGCAATCGGATTTGGACGCTTCCCGTCAGGACTTGGATTGGCTGGTGCATGTTGGTGTTGTTCGAATTATTGATAAATTGATTGAGCACCCGGACTTTACCAACGCGATAAGTCTCATCCGGCATGCTGCTTTTATGGCCGGGGTTGAGTCTGTTCAGAAAACCTCTGCTAGTGCTGGTGGTGGAGATGTCGGTGCTGATGCCGCTTCTGTCGGTCCCGTGGTTAGTGTGAACGATGCAGTGTTATCTTTTGCCAGTATGGATCACGTGTCCTTGTTGGGTCTGGGTGAATTGGGTGTTAGGGGTCTCCGAGAGTTGTGCTCGTTTGCTGGTTCAGAGGGTACTCCGGAAAGTGCAATGGGTCAGGGTATTGTGCCGGTGGCTGAGGTCGATGCTGGGAAGGGTAATGAGGGTGGCGATGGTGATCTTGGAGAAGGTGAGGTGGCTGTTGAGGGAAACGAAGTCACTTGTGGCGAGGATGATGTTGTTGAAGATGCTCCGGCATCGTGTGCTACCCCTCTTGGGGCGTGAAAACTTCTTTGCATGTTTTAGTTTCTGTCTTGTATGTTTCTTTTGATGGCCATGTGGTGCCTTTAGTTTGTATAACGTATGGACTTT